CATCCACTCTTTCTGAGATATGTATCTTTGGCACATGTAAATATTTAAGATAACCAGATAAACCTAAAAAAAAAGGCTATTTTAAATAATCTGTTTTCTTAATCACCAACCTTTTAGAAAATTATCACAAAGCATATGTTCAACTCAACAAGGTATTTTCCACAAATTAAAGTCAAAATAAGGTTAAGTCCTCATTGCTTCTGATTAAATATGAGCCGAGAAAGCACTATTAACATCTATCTCACCTGGAAGAGCTGCATTAGCCTCTCATCCACATCAACAATGATGCAAGTCCTGACATGGTGTTTTGGTCAGATGTTGATATCCTGTGCTGAACAACTTGCAAGGGTTTTCTGGACATCTTTTACCTCTCCCTAGGGCTTCCAGAGTCATTGTTGCCTGAGGCCCACCTTTGTTCAAATAAATCATCCATCACATGCACCACTGATCCCCTTCCTATTATTTGGATTGCAGTAATTAAGAAGAAAATCAAGAAGATCCTGCTGGAATACATAAGCACACCATGGCTCAGGAAGCCTCTAGTTTTGGTACAGGTTTCTTCTGCAGCATTTAAACACCAAGAACCTTAGGATGCTTTTTGTGGACTTCAGCTCAGCCTTTAACACCATCCTTCCTCAAATGCTAGCTCACTTTTATCACAAGAAAGATTCAGAAACATTACATGAAGACAAAAATTTTCCTTTCCCAAAGCTGTAAAGGCAGGTATCACCCTACATACAGACACTAAACTCTCCTGCCAAAAACTAAATAAACCACCAGCCCATTTCATTTATTGTTTCACAAATTCTATTATTATTGTTTCACAAGCCACACTTTATGTAATTATAAAAAGTCAAGTTCCATTTTCAGAGGATTTCTTCTTTTAATATTTTGTTTTTGTAGTTTCCAGGATGCTCATTCTTTGTTTTTAATTCATGTCTCTTCAATACAGGGGCATTCTCAGCAAATCTATGATTAAAAAAAATCTGTCAATTCTTGATTTGGCTTTTCCATGTTGGCAGCTTTGGAGCCAAGTGTTAATTTTGAAGCTTGTTCCTTTTACTTGATTGGAAATCACCCTGTCATTGAAATGTTAGTTTAATTTAATTCTAACTTAGATCAAAATTACTTTGTTAATCCCATATGAAGATTTGATGTTGTTGCAGCTCTTAGCACAGTCACCAAGATTTGCCAGGAGCGTCCATTCCATCAGCCAAGCAAACTCTAGATGGCAGAGGATTCATTGCTCGGGTATATTGCAGAAATTCTGTTTCACTTAGTGCCAGGATTTTTTTATTCTTGGTATTAACACTTCAAGTGTTATGTTGTGAGCTACGCATAATACCATCTAGCTTATCTTATTCATTGAGTGGTGTGAGATGGTGTGAGAATAAACTGTGTTCCAAGGAACACCAAGATGGGGTCCCTGTGACACTGCAGTTCTAAATGCACATATACTTTATCAGGCATGGACTTCCTGATGGAGTTTGCCAGTGAGCTGGCTCAGTCACATTTTGGAGCCAAGAATGAAAAATAGAAAAAACTTCATCATACATCTCATACCTGACCAAGGGAAATAGCAAAGTACTGGGTAAACTATCAGTGCATGAAAAATCACAACACACAATGTCCTGTGATGATTGCTAAAGTACACATGTGGCAAATACACTATATAAAGGTGGTGTCATGGCAGTGCCAAGTATATTCTAACGATGCAGAAGGCTAAAGTGTTCACACCAATAAGGATGTCACCATATTTCATAGCTTTATTGAATTGGGTATTTTTATTGTCACTCACTTCACTATATATGACATACATTTTGTATTAGTATATTTTCTTGCAGTAATATCTAAATAATGTCTCCTTGAATTTGTGCATCAACAATAAATCTGCAAGAAACGAAAAAAAAGAAAACAACTGTCGACCTCTTGTAAAGAAGAGTGGGGAAAAAAATCTGTTCTGATACTAAAAGTGTAAATATCAGGAATTGTTTCCTTCTCAACCGGCTGTGTATGACCTGTCCATAGAAATACGTTTTCCTCTATAACATTACTAACATCATCTTTCGTTCAGGTCAGGTTTCTGCACAACAATTTCAACAAATCGGAATTAGAGAAAAATGGCATGATTTACACGCGAGTTAGAATATTAGCTTTAAACAAATACATTTGGTCCCTTTGACCTTCTAATGTTAAATCAGACATGTCTACTGAATTTAATGTAGATGCAGTATGTTACGTAGATGTACTGTCCAGTGGGCCATTTGCAGCCTCTGACAGTGCAAAAATCTGCATTCCTCCTTAGTACCATTGTAGGGCGAAAACAATTATTGTGATAAATTGATTACTGAAATAATCATCAACTAATGGAGTATAGAGTCTTTACAGGGATATAGGAGATTTTCCTGACAGAGCAACACAGTTAGAGCAGTACTTACACAAAAAAATAAAACATTTTGAATTCAAGATAAAAAAAAACGTTTTCATCCATCAATAGTGGATAAGTTTTAGTTTCAGCTTCTGTTACAGTTCTAAATTCTGTAAAAAAAAAAAAAAAAAATCCTCTTCAAGGAACCGTTTACTATCCGATAAAAAAATCTATTGATTTGGGGGAATACTCAACAAATTATTCAATTAGAAAAAATATCATTAGTTGTAACCCTATACCATGACAATGTTGTAAATTGTAAATGTAAATCCCTTTTACTGTCCCACAATGGGGAAATTCACTCTCTGCAATGGACCCATCCCCTTGGGGAGCAGTGGGCTGCCAATGTGTGGCGCCCAGGGAGCAGTGTTGGTTAAGGGTCTTGTTCAGGAACCCTGGGTACTTGCAACCTTCTCAGAGCAGTGCTCTAACCACTAGGCCAACACTCCCCAGGAGTCTCTGCAACACAGCAGATTGCAGTATCTGAAGCTTTAATGAAAAGAAAAATGAAGTTCCATATTACCTAATGCAGAGGTTTTCAACTATTGTGGGACGCTCTAAAGTCGTCTTAAGACAAAACCGAAAGGGCAAGAACAGCCTTGCTAGATTTTGTCCTGCTTTTAAATCGGACAACAGCACCCCCTGCTGTTTTGCTTTTTTACCTGCAGAGAGTTTTTTTTTTTTTAATCTTTCGTTGTTACTGCAGCAATTCTTAATCTTAGAAACTGTTATTTCTAAGATTAATTAATGTGAAATTAAAAGCAAGCAATTATATAATGGAATTAGTCTTCAGGGAATTTATTTCTTCTAATTACTGTATTAGCGTTTTTAACTTGTATATACTTGTGTCTGAATTTTGTCAGTTTTGGGTTGTAGGATGCTTTTCATTCATAAATATATCTAAGAAAGAAATGACACTAAGTTTAGGTCAAATTTATGCATATCAATTTCAATTTTGGCAGATATGTATGGGTATTTTTTTAGTGCATAGTATGTGTGGGTAAATAAACAAATTAGAAAATATGGATAGAGCATACTGACAGATGAAAACGTGTTTTTAATCTTAAATTTAAAATACTTATGTCTTTTTTTTTTTTTTTTTTTTTTTTTTTTTTTTTTTTTTTACAATGTAGGGGATTGATAGCGTAGTGGTTACTGCATAGAGCTGAGAATCCAGAAGTTCTGAGTTCAAGCCCCACTCCCACGGACTGCCACTCTGGCTCTCTGAGCAAGATGCTTAATCCCCACACTGCTCCCTGGGCGCCACACAATGGCAGCCCACTGCTCCCCCAATGATATGGGTTAAATGTAGAGAGTTCATTTCGTTGCTCTATACTTGTGACAGTGTAATGACAATAAAAATAAAGCTGAAAAAAAAAGTTTCTGCTCTAAGTGAGTTGCTCTTTCAGCTAAAGCAATGCTTTACCGTCTCCTTACTCCAGTAAATGATTAATCCATTACTAAATCTGTTGACGGTCATCTTCGATCTTCTGAGATGCATGTGTGTCAAAACATGCACACAATGTCAATGAGATGAAGAGAAGGGACTACACAAAATGACAAGCAAGTTGTCTAAGTCTAAGTCTACTTTCATTACATCCTTATGACCTACTTGTTCTCTCAGCTCATCTGCTCAGCTGTTCCTGCTGTTGTACCTCTAAAGCTCCTTAATGACCTGCCTCAGCACATCAGACAAGCCTCTTCTCTGACTTTTCACTTTGGCTATTAACACCGAGTGAGACAATGTGCTTTATTTTTATATTTTTTTAATCTTTTTTTTAATCTTTTATTCCTTTTATGTTTTACCCAATTTTATTTATTTGATTGTGAATGTTATATTTACCCAGGTTTTAGCTCTTCTGTTTTTATCTGTACTGTTTTATTTATTTATTTTTCTGTACAGCGCTTTGGTCATCTGTGGTTGTATTAATGTGCTTAACAATATAATTGGATTGGACTTTAATAGATGTGCTGAAACAGCACACTGTGGTTTTTTCATGTGTGTCTGCCCTGTCTTATGCTCACATTCTGAGGGGAGCACTCAGAAGGTTTTACTTGAGATTTCTTACAGTGTATGGGAGTTTTGTTATCTTATCAGACAATTATCTTCCATGTCTCTAAATTATTGTGTAGGGGTATGTTGCAAAGTCAGTGACTAAATACAATTGACAGGTTTTCCCTATAAAATGTTTTACTGATTTGAATGACAAACTTAACTTGGAGACATTATTTGGTAAATAGGACTAAAGTATAAATATTGAACTGTAACTAATTTAAATCTTTGTGTTTGATTGGATTTAATGAACAATATGTATCCGTACATTGCTTGGGGTTTACCCAATTATTAGACTATATAATTCCAAAAGTAACTAGTGAGTGATTGCAATAAGATTGTAATTATAACAACCCATTTTTTCCCTTTTAGATGAGACAAAATCTAATTTAATATGGGTTAGGCAGACACATCTTAAAAAAAAAACAAGGCTTCAAAAAATATTGATGTTTGGTTCATCAAGAGTGCTGCTGTCTTGAACTTTTGCTGTAGGTGTCATCCAAAAGAAAAAGACGTTGATATTAGAATGCTTCATCTTTATTTAGCAGTTAAGAGCATAGATCCCAACAACCTGGAACAGTTCATCTGTATCTCCTTCCAATTATACTTCTTGGCATTGCTTCAAATGGGGCGGTAGTCAAAAGTACCATCACTTCTGAATTTTACCCATCAGCGTACCTGGACTTTTTTTCCAGTGTGGGGCAAGTACCGAGACTGGTATCCGAATCCCTGGCCATCCCACTTCTTTTATTACAGGTTGACTAACTGAACCATTTTTTTTTTTTTAGAAAAAAAAATCTAGAAAATATATAAACCCTCAAATCCAACCCCAGTTCCCAAAAAATTTTTTGATTAGAAAAACCTTCACCAATAGAAACCCATATGTGGTTTAATGTTAACAGAATAAAATATAACACCACTTCAATCAAGCAGCTAAAACTTTACGCTTAGATTCTGTGTGAGGAGAAGATCAGAGCAGGTCAGGGATATCGCTGGCAAGGTGAAGTTTCTGGAGGTTGATTCCTTAATTTATGTGAGAGAAAAACAAAAACAATATGAGCTGCTGAAAATGTTACAAGAAAATATAAGCTTATTAGTTTTACTCACAGCATCCGTAAAGTTTGTTGATGCGGGCAATGTCAGTGGCGCTCATTGATGCTGCCCTTCCAAAACTGAGGCTAGGATTATCTTTAGAAATTATTGTTGGTTGGCCATTTCTAGAAAAGGCAGTGCTGAAAGAAGAACGCAGCAATGAACAAAATGTTCAGGCTGTACTCAGAGTCAGACTAAAAACTAAAAGCTCCACGCAACTGATTCGTAAACACTTTGGGATACAAAACTGCCAACAGAAGCAGATAACTTGCATGAACTGACAGAGAAATACTTACTTAGAGTAATGCATAACCGAGTTGAAGTCATAGCCAGTCCCTTGGTTGTTAGTATTCACTTTCATAAAGTTGTGTTCTTTTCCTGTTTGAAGCACAGAGGTAATTGTCACCTTTTTAAATTATTTCTATGGTTCACTTGTTGATGTTGGGTTTGTGTGCTACTGGTGTCCTCTTCTAAATTAGCTAAACTCATTTATTTTTGTAGTGCAAATGAAAAGATAACAGTAACCAGCTTTGATTACGCTACTATTTTTTTTCTGTACCTGTTCAGACCCGTAGCAGTACTTAATTCCCTGACCTTTCCTTATTGTTCCTAGTTATTTACAGATCTAACACTATTTTCTTCAAATTCCTGAAAATGTTCTAAATACAGCCGTATGAGCTAACCTGGTATAATGTTCTGGGTCAAAATCTGGACGTAGTTGTCCCTGTCAGAGCGGACTTGCTCATGATGGAAGCCCAGAGCGTGGTTAACCTCATGTTGCACTGTTGATTGGAACAAGCAGCCATTTCTCCTAAGGGACACCGGCTGAAGTCCACCCTGATGGCCGAGGTAGGACCAACACCTGACAGGGAGATTAGGTGAAATTAGGATATGTGGCTGTGACCGCAGTCTGTGTGTTCATATGAAGTTGTGTTCCTACCCAGTTCCAGAGTAGAAGTAAAGGTAGCTTGATTGTGTCCTCCTCCAAACAAAGCGAATGCAGGTGGAACTGTGGAAGCTCACCAGGCCTCTAATGATGATGTTACGTTCTGCCGCAGCTGCAAGGGGAAAACCAATCAATGAAAAGCATAGTGGGTTTTTAGCCAACACTCACATCTAAAACATTTTCTATGAACTGAAGGTCTTAACTGCATGTTCAGAATTTAAGCTCTAACTCAGAAACTGTCGATAGTTCCCTTCTGTTTTAGCATACATATTCCAGTGACTAATTGACTGGAGGACCTGCAGAGTCGCTGATAAAGAACAGCAACCATTTCAAATTAAACATTTTAATCACATTGATTTTTACATTGAATTCATAAACACTGCAATTTGAAAATTTATTTAACAGTTTCCAAATTTCCAGTTTCCATTTTTTTTTTCTTTTTCATTTTTTCAGATAAACCAATCAGAGTTGCTCCTTAGATGTAACCAGCTCTTTTATTGGTTAGACTGCCACACTTGGTTCACAAAATGACCAGTGAGAGAACTAGTTTCATCCTAGGAGCAAGGGGGATTGGTTGAACTGGTTCTAATTCTGATCTAGTGAGATTAGAATTAAATTTCACCAGACAGAGGTCAAACATTTTAGAATTACTAAAAGTCGACAAATGGAAAGTTTCAGCTTTGTTATCCCAAATTAAAGAACTGCTTCATCTTGCTTATCACACCTCTCAGGGCAAATGTGTAGAATAAGACAAGTGATTGAATAAATCTTGCTTTCATCAAATACAACTATGTCAAAGTCCAAAACCAGAAGAATAATACCTAAAACTGATAATGAACTAAAATGATTTAGGATCAAATTTGACAAAGTATCATGGAAAATTCTCTTTTGACAGAAAACATACTGTTTGGGTCTAATCAATATCTTAACATTATGTCAAGTTTTTCTTTTTATTTCTTTGTAATTAATTAGATATTGGAGATGCTTACAGTAATGACTGGAAATGTAGATGGGAATATAGACATAACTTCCAGATTTGGGCCATTTGCAGCCCGTCGCCGTGCATGGTACTGCATTCCTCTTTCTGCTCGGTGCAATGTCACCAAAGATGAGTGGTGTCTCTGAAAACCATAAAAAATAACACAGAAATAGCAGTTTATCAACCTTATCAAACCAAAAATGTTTTTTTTTTTATTACTGTATTTCTGGCAACTCTACCTCTAACAATATGAGTACATTGTATTAAGGATCTCTACTGTATTAATTTCCTGTGTTTTTCTTCTCTCATCTAGTGGCTAATCTAAATATAACAGTGGACAAGTTCAAAAATATTCATTCTGGTTTACTCTTGGAAATATTAAATTAAATTACAGCCTCAGGATTGTGTGTAACTGTCGTCTTACTTATGTCGGCATTTGCTTTGGAGATGACCTCAGTGGGATCTGTGTTCTCATCTGTGGAAAAGAGAAAATAAGTCTACCTGACAACAGAAACCGATACATTTTCCTTCAGGATTTTTGATGTTAACTTGAGCACTCACCAATTTGGTTTTCATTGTCAGCTGCTCTCTGCAACACAAACAGAGACTTCAGCATGTCATCACAACCACGTTTTCTGTTTCATTACACTTTTGACATTTTCTGTTTATAATGCTGAGAAAAAAACATTATACCTAAACATATTAACTGTCTCTTTGGTACAAAAAAAACATTTGAGGTTTCTGTCTTCCTACATACCAGTGGAACAGCTGTCATCGAGAGGAAGAGGAGAAAGAGGAAAACTGGAATCATGTTGCTTCTCCTCTGCAGGGAACCTTATGACCTGAAAGTCTGAATCTAGGTAGAGTAAAGTAGAGTTTTGTTTTTGAGTTAAATGTTATAATCTTGGTTATGAAACAAAACATCAATCAAAGAAGAGAGATGGGAGCAATGTTAGAGAAGTTTACCTGCTTCACCTGGAGTTTGATGCTGGATGCAGCAGGTGCTCAGCCTCTCTCCTTTTAAGCACAGCCAGCATAAGGTGTGGCAAAGGTTACATTGTTTAGGCCATTAATCAGCCGGCAGTAAGATGACTGATCTTGGTTCAATACAAGAAAACCGAGCTGACAGTGTTTCTCTAGAAACAATAACCAGATCAACACTTTAAGGAAGTAGTTAAATATGCATAGTTTCATATGAATGTTCACTTTGTGTTCTTTGTTTTAACTTAGTGAAGCAATTGAAAGGGTTGGGTAAAGAAAAAGTGTAATTAAGAAAAGAATGTATGCAGCACAAAAAACAGGAATAGAACTTGGCAAAAACAAAACATGCAGTGGCCCAACCTTTTTGTTAGAAAAATAGATAGAAAAAAAACAAACATTTATCTCTCTGTGAGCTCCATCACAAAGAGATACATGTTTGTACTTTCTATCTTTTTGGGACTATTAAACTTTAACTGGTGGCTCTCTGTCACTCATCATGATAATAAAAATGCTACTAAAAATCACTGTATGTCTCGCAGGGTAAAAATAAGGGGTTGGCTGGAGCTTACAATGACTGACCCCTAAGCTTAACCTGTTATGTGTTATGCTGCTGACTTCAAACTGTCCCTATTTGGCCATGTCCAATAATCTAATTCTCCCAGTGACTCCACAGTAGCTGTCTCCCCTGTTCGAGGCAGTGGCTGTGTAAAGTTTATGGTAAATGAATGAGGTAAGCTGATGATTCTGAGATGAACATATGGAAGTAAATATGTGCCATCAGAATTTGAATAAAAAATACCTCTGAAATTTGAATGTTGTATATTAGTGCTTACTTTTTCAGTATTAAAATAAATTCAGAATATATTTTTAACCTAAAAAAATTAAATGTCATTATTTGTACATTACAAAAAAAATTCAGTGTATTTTTTTTTACATGGTTGCAATTTTCAGTTATTAAAAAAAATCACATTCCTCTTTCAAAGTGATAAAAATTTCAATATACATATTTTTCACAGTTTAAATTTTCAGTGTTAAAAAATTCAGCATATAAAAAATTCAACTTTTCAAAATTCAAATGCAATATTTTCCTTGTCCTCCAATTCAACTTGCTCAAATTCAGTGTCTCAAATTCAGCGTCTAAAAATTCACTGTAAAAATGGCCAAGGTTACTTCAGGTCACAGACATTAGCAATGGATGTCCGATTCCAACATCCACCTAATCACGTGACACAACCGTCATATTGAAGAAGTACCAGTATCACCCAGGCTGGCGACCATGGAGACGAACTCAAACCCAACGGTGAGTTTACTGCTTTCATATTTCTGTAGTATGTTTTATTTTGCGCATGAAGTTTGATACATTATCTTAAAGCCTGATTTAAAACACTGGTTTGGGCCGTTGTTAATCTTACACCGTGTAGTGCCGGCATATTACTTCTCGCTACCTCCGAGCACACCCCCCTCACCCAATTTCCCCCGTTTTATTTCAAAAAGAAATACCACTTGCGCCAAGTCTAGAATCTTTAAAGAGAACTGATGGGTGGTGACTTTCTGGGTTGTTTGTATGTTGTCTTAGGTGAGACTGAGACAGGCAGTCGATGCCTACTGTGCTCTTCTCCCATTAAAATTGTAGAAACTATATCAAGCACAAATAAATCTACAATTTGGTAGGTAACTGGTATTTTGAATGATGTTGTAATGACTATAAATTTCTTAATTAATTCATAAATGAAGTCACCTAACAATACAGTAGCTGATCAGAGTGGGGTCGGAACTGTTCACAGCCCCTCTTTGAAGCACACAAGGCAGCCATATTAGCTTACTACATTAGCGGTAGCATCTCCTGAAAAATTACGACTTTACTAAGACTGCCTGGAAAAGTGGTATTTCTTTTTGAAATAAAAAGAAATACCACAAATAAAAAGCAATGAGGGGGGGTGCTCGGAGGTAGCGAGAAGTAATATGCCGGCACTACACGGTGTAAGATTAACAACGGCCCAAACCAGTGTTTTAAATCAGGCTTTAAGATAATGTATCAAACTTCATGCGCAAAATAAAACATACTACAGAAATATGAAAGCAGTAAACTCACCGTTGGGTTTGAGTTCGCCTCCATGGTCGCCAGCCTGGGTGATACTGGTACTTCTTCAATATGACGGCTGTGTCACGTGATTAGGTGGATGTTGGAATCGGACATCCATTGCTAATGTCTGTGACCTGAAGTAACCTTGGCCATTTTTACAGCGAATTTTTAGACGCTGAATTTGAGACACTGAATTTGAGCAAGTTGAATTGGAGGACAACGAAAATATTGCATTTGAATTTTGAAAAGTTGAATTTTTTATTTGCTGAATTTTTTAACACTGAAAATTTAAACTGTGAAAAATATGTATATTGAAAATGTTATCACTTTGAAATAGGAATGTGAATTTTTTTAATAACTGAAAATTGCAACCATGTAAAAAAAATTACACTGAATTTTTTTTTAATGCACAAATAATGACGTTGAATTTTTTTTAGGTTAAAAATATATTCTGAATTTATTTTAATACTGAAAAAGTAAGCACTAATATACACATTCAAATTTCAGAGGTATTTTTTATTCAAATTCTGATGGCACATATTTACTTCCATATGAACAGCCGTTCTGGACTTCTTCAGAAGTGACACATTGAGGCTTCTGCCTGCCTCAGGTAGTGGTCTTGGTTGCACTGTTGTATTGCTGCATGTGCTGCATGTGAGAAAATAAAAATTTTATTCCTCTTTTTTTTTTACTAATTGTCATGTTGGGTGCAGTGGTCTGTGAAAGGTCTTTACTCCTGAACCTTGGAATCATACAGACAGGCATACAGGCATGTGCATGTGGCACATGCAAATCATTAGATGACCTAGATTTGTCTTCTTAGGCTCAGTGTTAATGTGTATTACTTTAGTTTTGAAGGATTTAAAATAATAGTATTTAGTATGACTGAAATGCACACCTCAATAAACTTTTTCGTGTACAGTTATCAAGAAGTAAAGTTTATCTATTACAATCTGGCACTTCAAACTACAGAAGTCTATTGTTTTCGTCTTGGATAAACAAACAAACACATATTTCCTGCTCATGCTGTCTGTCACATGCTGAACATAAATCTCTCCTTTTATTTGTGTTATTTAAAGAACAGAATGTCTTCGAGTGTTGTGTCTTAGAGAGAGTTTTTCTTTGGTATGAAACTCACATAACTGGAAAACTTCTAGGTTGGCATGAGGACTTCAAACAAAAGGTTTACTATGTGTGTCAGGAATAACGTCAACGCTTTTGTTTTGTTTTCTCCACGTATGACTCAAAAGGCTACAATTTTTTCAGCTAGAGTTTTATGGTTGAAAAACATTCAACCATTAAAAAAAAAAATTGCAGTGATCATTTCTATACAAAAAATAAGCAAAAAGGACATTTTCTAAACCTTAATTCATACATACGAAATGCATATTTTAAAGAAAAGTGGAAGATTATTTAACCTGTTGAGGTTTCTGTCTTCAACCTGTTGAAAATAGAAGAAATAGATGTACTTGAATTTATGATCAAGTGGTTGTTACAGACAAGTTTACATATGTTCCAATTTTAGATACACTGCGATCTATTCTTACAAATCTAAATGCATGTTGAATATTTTCATCTGACCATATTTCAACGGTTTGTATTTAGATTTAAAAGATGGATGAAAAAACATCCTTCTTTTCCAAGGAGAAAAATGCAAATGTTTTTTATTTTGTTTTATTCTATGCCAAGATTTTATTGCCATTTTGTTGATGTGCTGAAATTAATAAAAATATTTTTTTCCCCTCAAAATTCTTATTCAAGTTTTTGCTGTACACCTTGAGATATATATAAAATTGTACTTTAACACCAAAAGTCAATTTCAACACTGAGCCAGGTTATGGTCCTGCCCTGTACGGAGTTAAACTTGGAACTCTGAATTTTACAATTAATTTTACTCCACTTAGTGTTGATTTTTTACAAGTGTTAAACTAAGTTAATAATTGTCAAAATAATTTTTATTTTACTCTACAACTCTATAATTATATTGGTTAGCATTTGGTACAGATTTTTGGCCATATCTAATCAATTTATTTAAAGACACATTATGTAAGTTTTTACAGAAAAATATCTTTAAACCAAGTAGTTATTAGGCATAGACCAGATTTTGAAACACACATCCTCCAGTCTGGACGAGATTAAAGCCTTTTTCTGAAGTTTACCGTCTGCCTGATTTTTTTGCAAGTATTTAGATGAAATTTGTCAAATTTGTTTTTCTTAAAGTCATTTGATTTAGTCAACGGCTGGTTGTACTTGTTGCATTCAGTAAAAATGTTACACTTGACAGCTGAATGCACAGACCACTTCCATAATTTATTACTAAATGGACCTGTCATACTAGTTTCACCTTAGTTTCCTTCCTTGTTAGAGTAAATACAGTGAGATAAAGGGTTTTGTTGTCAACTTCAGCCTCCTGGATTAATGAACATGAACAAAGAGGGGTTACATTTTTGTAGAGCTCATTTGGTTGTATGGTTGACATTAACTATTAGATCTATAAATGTTTTTTATTCACCAGACCTCCAGATGAAACAAAACTGGTTTCAAGACTCAAAGTCTACACTAATGCAGATTCAACTTGTGTATGACAATAGATTTATAGCCATGATAGATAAAGACTGAGGTGTTGAACTACAAGACCAGTCTTTAAATGTTAGATATGGTATTTGCTTCTACCAATTGCTCAGGTGAACTGAAAAAATTTAACAAAGTAATGTAGATGAAAGCTACCTAAAACGTCAAACACACATCAAAATTGATTTTGAAATGCAGAAAACTTTAGGTTCTCTTCTGGCTTCTAGTGCGATTAACCCATAGTATTTGATTTTCTACTGTGCCTACTGAGTTTCTTTCACTGTTTTTTAAATTCATGAAGGTTTTGGGGTTATGGTTTACTAACATCTTATTCTTGGATCTTTCTTGCTTACCTCACTGCTTAGGTTTATGTACACATTTACACAGCTCTGTATGTGGCACATATATCTTTACTATAACAACCCTAATTACAGCCGAATACGGGCACCTCTGACACATATGAAAGCAG